CCCACAACCCCAAAGGAAACATGGCAATATTATACGCTATCATTATTGCCCCCCCCCCCCACATCCTTTTGAAATACTGTCCAAGTGATACACTTCAGGATTATCACTTATTATCTGTGTAATAAATCCAGTACTACAGTATTGCTGGCTTTCTATACCCAGGAAATATTGACATGCATTTTCCCCCATCTATTGAGGTCAACTGAGGCAACTTAGAGAACCCCTGGTCTTACATGAAAAACTCTGAACGCCTTTCCTACCAGGTGTCTTGATAGTACTTCCTCCTGCTTTGTGCCTAGATGAGGTTGCTCCCACTTGTGCAGTCATGCCTCTTCTCCAAGAGCCTGTCTGAGAAATGGGGAGAGAGGCTTTTTGCCCCCCCTTCTCAGCATCCTCAAGCAACCCAGGAGGATGGCTCCTCCACTTGCCACTGCTGTCAACATTGCTCTCAAGATCTTCCTCTGGCTTCTTCAGTTCTTCACTGCTCCCCCAAGGTTCTCCATCAGTTACTGAACGTTTTTCAGAATCTGTCTTCAGCTGTCAAAAATCAATATCATGAAATTAATTAACAAGGATTTTTATTTTAATCAGTGCAGTATGAGAGTGCACATTATTATTTACTTAACGTTTTTCCCTCAAAATGCTGATCAACCTACTTTCAGTGTTTTTATGGAAGTAATATTTGTATTATTGGTGCTAAGTACATTAACGTAGCGTTGAGAGCAGCTAATAATGCACAACAAAAATTAATGGTGATTCTTGAGATTGTTTTCTTCATTACATCTAAGAATATGGGAATTGTATATTTAATTAGCAGGCAAGTTGCAGATTCAAATTATGAAAGATTTTCAATTTGCCTACAGAACTGTCAGTACTGCAATAAGTGGCTTGACAGGAATATGATTCTTAACTGACAGGCCACATGACTGGAGTTAAATGTATTTTTTTCAGAGATTAGTTGTTATTTCACACTCTCTGTTTATAAGCAAGAATGTGGTATGCTCAGAAAGGAGTCTGCTATACCTTTAACCCTCAATCTTGCCTCCATATGCAGCACAGAACTTTGCCTTGGGTTGTTGAAAACACCGTGCTGTGATCAATAGAAAATGTAATCATGTCATTAAACTCCAGCAGTGTTTATGACTCTCCACAGGCCCTTGATCAGGAAATAGGTTATCCTTTTTTTGCACAAGAAGATACATGCACAGAAGGTGGCCCTTTGTTGCTTTGATTCAATTAATTGTTTCATTATGGTTTTATGACATCGCTATATCAGAAGATTTGCCTAATTATAACTATAACGTGTCAGAAGAGACTTAGGACTATTATAGTTCCAACAAATGAAAAACAAATAAAACCAAAGAAATAAACAAATACACAAAAATCTAGTGAAGAAATTATGTGTTTAACAAGCGTGTTAAAAGTGATGAAGCATCCAAGTGGCTGTCTGGATTCAACATCCTATCCCAGCCAGAAAATGAAAAAGGTCAAACCTATATGGATACGTGCATTCTTTCTTGAAGAAGCAGTAATATTAGAATAAGAGCTGACCGATGATGTAGTGTTGAGGTCGTCTGTGCTGATGTTATCCAAAGTATCACTGAGGCCGCTGCTAACCGAACTGCTGTCATCCCAGCTGTTGGAGATAAAAACAATAGAAGAAAAGAGAAATGAATATCTCATCTATTCTCCCCAGGAAGAAAAATTTGCTGGGTGTCAGTTGATTTTATGGGTTGGTTAGTTATTAAACAAAACTGCTAAATATGAACTTTAGCAATCCATGCATTGCTAAAAATGCTTTGATTGTAAATAATTTATTGAAAGATGCAATTTCCATCTTTAGCAAGACCTGGTATAAATGTCCACAGCAGGTAGATTCATAGTTTGTTGGACTCATATTCTCTGTGTCAAGAGAATTGCATTAAATCAACCTTAGATTCTGGATTAAACTTTATTACAGTATTAGCCTGGATTATTTCAGTGGTTTTCCCAGAACAGGGTGTGGGTGTGGGTTAGGGTTAGATTGACTATTCTTCAAAGAAATAAGCATAAATCAAAACAAGATTCAAAGCATATAAAACCGTACTACTTTGAGCCTTCCCTGGAAGAACAGAATATAAATACTATAAATGAAAATAATAATATCAATAGTAACAAATTATTTTCATCATAGTTTTCCCATTTGTATTCCAGGCATTTTTTCATGATAACAATTAAGATAGGGCTATTCAATACCTTGCCATGTGGGGTTTAAGCCCATGTTCCATCTTGCTTTCTATGCTTTTTTGACATTTGCATAACACTGCTAGGAATAGTTTTCAGTAACTCATATCTGATCTGAATCAAGCAAGGCAGCATTCTTCATAACCAGCATCATCATTGCTCATTGCCTGCAGTGGCTTGTGGTGATGGAAATTATAGCCCAGTACATCTGGAGAACTCCAAATTGGAGAAAGCAGATTATTATTAATGTTGGCCACACAGTCAGCCAGATGCTTAGACTGGATCTGGCATTTTTATCCACCTATCAAGTCCTTCCCAAGGACCTATTTTTATCCACCTATCAAGTCCTTCCCAAGGACCTATTTTTATCCACCTATCAAGTCCTTCCCAAGGACCTGGGATAGGCAGATGTTGTTTGATAGTGTAAAAAGTATTGTTGTAGGATGTAAGCTGTTCCAAGTAAAGCTGACTTTTACAATTGACTGATGGTGATTTTGTCAATGCTGATGGTCTTCAAGTGGTGCTCCAGATGTTTTGGGATTGCACCCAAGGCTGCTATTACTATTGGTACTATCTTTGCTTTTTTTTGCCACAGTCATTCTACTTCTATTTGCAGATCTTTGTATTTTGTGATTTTCTCCAGTTCTTTCTCTTCTATTCTGCTGTCTCCAGGTATTTCAGTGTCGACTATCCAGACTTTTTGGTCTTTCTTATCGACAATTGGTAAGTCTGGGATGTTATGTGGCAGGTGCTTGTCTGTCTGAATTCTAAAGTCCCAGAGCACTTTAGCTTCTTCATTTTCTATTACTTTGCCTGTTTTATCGTCCCACCAGTTCTTGCTTGCAGGCAAATGGTATTTCTTGCAGATATTCCAATGCACCTCTGTTGCTACTTTGTCATGCCATTGTTTGTAATCATTCTGTGCAATCTTCTTGTGACAGCTGACTAGGTGGTCCACTGTTTTTTCAGCTTTTTTGCAGAGGCAGCATTTGCTGTCTGTTGCTGTCTTCTCGATTCTGGCTTTTTATACATTTGTTCTTAAGGCTTGGTCTTGGGCAGCAGAATTAGCCCCTCTGTCTCTTTTTTCAACTTTCCTGCTCTTAACCATTGCCATCTTGTTGTTATCTGCTTTGCCTGCTAGTTTTTTTTTTCTCCTGTGCTGGCAATGTAATACTTTGCCTTGCCATGTCTCTTTTCTATTCTTCATTTGGTCTTTCTTGTAGG